AGCTCCTTTATGGGTGCGCCAGGCCCGCGGGTGCCCGGTACCTCACCAGGGCCTGGGGCTGTCTCCTTAACCCCGTTCTGGTTTTTTCGGTTCATCTTTGAGCAGGGATGCTCTTGATTTGGGCCTTGCTTTGGTGCTGATGGTTTGCAGATGGAGCCCGTTGCTGGCCAGCCCTCAGCACGGCAGGTTGTTAGACTGGCAAGCTATGCCGCTGCTCTGCGAGGCCAGCCTCAGCACCGGCACGGGGAAAGCGGGCAGGGAAATCCCTTATCGCCTTTATATCAACATGAGTCACCCTCCACAGGATCCCTGAGAACTGGTACCTCCAACAGTGGCAGGAATGCAAGGCGTGAAAGGGAAGTCGCTTCTCATGGCATAAAGTGCTGAATGTTCCTCGAACGTTTTCAGTGAGGGAGGTCATGCACAAAACCCAGTTCTTTCTCAAGCTGACGATGCAGCATTGGCCCATCCAGGGTGGGCTTTTATCCAGGTAGAAGGGTGGAAGTGGAAATGAAGAAGAACTTGGACAGCCCTAGAAATGCACGCTGCAGACCACATCTTCTGTTACTCCTTCTTTGCTTTGCTTCTAAACACACCAGTTGAAAAGGCAGACGAGGGAATGTATATGGAGGAGCTGTGTTTAAGTCCAAAAGTGAGATAAAGTACAGAAAAGGAAAAGCAAGTGTTCAAATAGCTCGCAGCAAAGCAGATGAACTGTTTTTTTACCTTTTTAAAATACATTTTGTACCTGATTTTCCTAAAGAAAGCTCTCTTCTCATTGGATGAGATAAGTAAAACATTTTGATTTGTGAACAGCTGAAAGCTTTACACTGAATTAATTATTTCTTTTTAGGTATCAGAAGAAAACCTGAAGGACATTCTTTCATTTTCTGAATTTTTGCTGGCTTAGTTTATGAGTGACAGGTCTTACTTCTTAATTTCATTTTCATTTGAGTCATGCTCTATTTACATGAAAAATGGGATTTAATTAAAATATACAAAACAGTATTACAAAATTACATTTAATTGAATACAGGGGTCTTAAATGTGATGAGTATGGTGAAGAAGAAGTAAGGATGTGCATGGTCACATGCTGTGATTTGACAGAGACCAGCATTGCCACAAAGAGAAGTAGACTTGCCCTTTCTGCACATCTTGCTACTTCCCCTCCTTGCACAAGTGTTTGTGCAGCAACATAGTGAGCTGGATAGGGATCTGATCCAGGTCAAATCTAATCTGGCCAAAAAAAGAAGTTAGTCTTAACCTAAATAAGGTCTCTGATTCAGTTCAAGTGCTTATGCTGGTGAGGGGAGGTGGTAATGTGATGGTTAGGGATGAGTGTTTGGGGGCTGGTTGAGGGCAGAGGTTTCTCTTGGCTGCAGCACTATCTTAAAATGAACATGAAAATGTTTATATGGCATCTATACAGAAGCTGGCTTGGGTCCAGCCTACTGAGAGCATAAGCTCAACAAGTGCACAACTGTCTGCACCTGACCTGGGAGACAGGCCCCACGTTTATTAAAAACACATTTTGTGTTTAAAACCTGACTTACTAACCAGAGGAAATGCTAAATATTTTTAGTAGTTGACTAATTGTTTCAAAGGCATTTAGGCCTGCTGAAAACCCCATTAAATAGCTAAACAGTTAAGTGTCTTAAATCTAAGGGAGTTAGGTGCCTGATCTGTTTAAGAATTTTTGAAAATTCCACCACTCATCTAAAACTGAAAATTATTTCTGAAATCTATCCTTTCATCTTAATGGTTTTATGCTGAGTAGATCTTCCCATTGTCCAGCTTTTCTTTATTCACTATCTGGAAAAAAAGAAACTTCTTCTTCTAATTGGTGCCTTATCTTACAGTAAAATTAATTTCCTCCCTCCATGATTCCCTGCACCTGCTTGCTGAACTGAACCCAAGTCTAATATAAAAGTCTTTATGAATAACAGAATAATTTAAATGAGGAAAATGTCAATAATGGCATTTGTTGCACTCTGAAAACTGAAACTACTTTGGATATTTACTTTATGCAATATGTGGCATCATGCTGTAACTGGAAGGCTTGAGGCGATCTTACAGGTACTTTTTGTGAAGCTAATAACATGTCCCTGATAATTCATTGTAATCTGTAGAAGATTAATTGATGCATATTTTTGTCTTATATAGTATTGATGAAGGATAATTTAGGCCTTGAAGACTGAGATTTTGAAATCTATGTTCCTAAGATAGGCATTGATATTTTAATATAACTTCTCTGTCCAAATTTGTATATAGAATGAGAGTTTTTTACTGTGTTAATTTGGGTTTTTACAGCTACTGCTTTTCTGTACAAATAGGAAGTTGAAAGAATTTTTATATACATGTGATTTTAAGATTATTTCTAAGCATTAATGAACACTTATGTTACAGCACTGATTTGTAGACATTTCATCATCAACATGTATGTCACAGCATTGATTCAAAGACATTTCATGTAAAAATGACAGTACTTGTATGGAGATTGTTTTGATCCCATCACCATAGCTGAACCAGTTCAGTTTTCAACAGTTAAACATAAATTTAGGTACGGGTGATTTATATCACAGTTTACCTTGCAAGTCTGGTTTTATCCCTTCATCCTGCACCCCACTGAGTTGTAAACCACAGTTGTTCTAGCAGGTTTGCAGACCACCAGAAATAGCAAGACATCACAAGGGGATCCTGGAGCGGGGTGAAATCTAAACAAAGTGCTGAGGAAATACTGTTGTAAGCCCACACAGGTTACGCACCTGAAGAAGATTGTGGTCACGCCTGATCGGGAGTGGAGCCAATGACTCAGATGGTCATCTACCTGTTCGTCAGAGGCACTTAACACATTCAAAATTGTAGGCCCAAAGTTTGGACTAGTGTTTCAGCCAGCTGACTATTTCTTCTGCCTATCTGGATGTTCAGACAAGGAGTTGTGGACATACACAGGAACAGAATTGTATGTGCTTAAAATCAAGTCAGGTGGTTACTACCATGTTAGGCAAAATTCCAGCAGTGTCTTTCTAGGTTTGTGCTCCAGTCTTAAGTTCCACTTGTTCCAAGACCTTGAGTTGTCCTTTGGATTGGACCTGTTACATTTGGTTACATATAGAAATACTGTTTTAAAAGATCACAAGAAAAAGATGTAGGTTTCTGGCTATTTAACTGTAGTGAGGATGTCATAATTCTTAGGAGTTCCTGAAGTTACAGCAATTTATGACCACGGTGTATCTGCTCTTCTAATACAGAGGGTCATGAGATCTTTTTGAATGAGGTCTTTCATCTTTCTCCTCATCTGCCCACCCAGATTGTTTTGAATAAAAGTAATGAGTGCTGCACGTTCCTTACAAAGCGTAAAAGTAAGTGTACACCCTTCTGAAAGAATTTTAGATTTTGAACCTTGTGGGTGGAGGCAACATGCAGCTTGGTGTTAGGCATCCGAGTTATGGGGTGTAGCCTGGCTCTCCAGACAAATTACTGTACCAACCACTTCCCTAAATGATTGTTCTGTCTTTGTATAGTGCAAAGGTACGAACAGAAGTGCAGTAAAGGAGACATGGAATTCAGCAAACCGGAGGCAGATTTCGTTAGGGCCAATGTGGAGGAGTAAGGTACAGTTTAAAACTACGTTCTGCAAAATAGACATCTAACAGCTCCTCAAAATGCACCTCACTTTCTACTTGGGATTTTCATCTGTCAACTTTTTCCTCAAGATGGGGTCCTCAGTCAAGTAAGCCATGTTAAGTGGGGTGGCCTGAGGGTGAGAGGTGGACAAGGTACCTCATGTAGCCTGATGAATATCCTCTTCATTTTGTCAGTAGGAATCCTGTTTACGTATTTTTGTTCTGGTTGGTACTGAAAGAAGAGAATTCATTTGTCTCACATATAGGATAGCATCTGGCTAGTTTTAATGTGTACTTGGCCCCAAAGTGCAAATTGATTTGTTGTCTAAAGTGGCTTTTTTAAAAAAAAAAAGCAAAACATATATTACTTCCTGAAGAATTGGCTTTTTTACCAGAACTCCATGGTAAATCTCTTTTCACTTTTTCCTATTGAAGTTTTTCTGCTTTTCATAAATAATTTATTCAAGAGACTAGAGGGATGGCTAATGAGAGATTAACTCAATGCCCAAGGGCTGGGGCATTTCCCTGGGATGTGGTAGAGTCAGGCTGCAAGATCTTGCTTCAATTAATATTGCTTCCCACATCACAGAGTGTGCTCACTGCTGGGAAACACATTTGTGTGTAAATCTTCGGCTCTCTTTTGTGTATGTTAGCCAGACACTGGCCTATATGTTAGACAGACAAAAAACCCCTCAAGTTTAAGAATTCTGCTGAGACTAAGTCACGAAGTAGACTCTGAGCAGTAGCAGTTGAGCAGAGTTGTTAGGATTTGGGGCAGCATTAAGTATGCAGATGGGAACCTGGATTCAATGTAGTCTTCTTAATCAGCATCTGAGCAGGGATTTCAGTGGTTCTTCATGTTGGATTTGGACCCTAACACAGGGCTTTGACAGAGAGCTCTGGTGAATCTTGCTGTAGTAATTTAAGAAGTTACCGCATGCAATTGTTTGTTCCCATGCTAGAGGTTGTTACCCACTGAGAATCAGCAGAAAGGAAAGTAGTTTTGCTCCAGCTCTTACTCTGCTGTTCCAGTTCAAACCCACCTCCATCAGCCCTTTAAACTAAATAACTGAGCTTTGCAAAGGGCTAAGTGAAGTGCCTTTGCATATTCTTTTTGGTGACCTCTGTGCTGGGGACAGTCTCCTTCAAGGGGAGGCAAAGCATCAGCTGGGGGGAAGCATCTAGCTGGGGGAATAGTCTCTTGAGCTGTTACAGAAACTTTTGCCCAGAGCTCACATATCAAAGCCTTTGTGGATCTAGCCCAGACTCCTATAGCTTTGTTTCTGAAGGTTGTTCTGGCAAGGGAGCTCTTGCCACTGTTTCCTCGCATTGTATAAACATCTATGTGCAGTCTGCCCAGGAACATTTAGAAGTTTGCTACTAGACTAATACCAACTGTCAGTAATTTTCCCAGTATATATGTAAGTGAGTTTGCATTTCAAATCTGTGGAATGGTGACTGGGCATCTGTTTCAATGACATGGGATAAACCTCAAAATCTCTGTGCATATCAATTGAACCATACAGTCAGTAGTGGTAAATTGGAACTATTTGCTCTTTTGTGAGCTTCACATTCCTTCCACTCTTCAGAGTAGTCCAGTGCCTGAACGTCACATTTCCTGTATTGATTTAAGGTTTAGAATAATTCATTTTGAAGTTAAACATGAAAAATGCTCCCTTCAGTTTCATTTTAATGCATGATGTTTTCATTCAGTGTTAAGGGAATTCAATTATAATCTCTTGGAGTTTTACAGTCATTCTAAAGTAATTTTCAAGACTATTGTAGATTTTAACACATCATGAACTTTATAATGGGTAGAAAATGTACTTCAGGAGTAGTGCACAATTC